AAATCTGTGAAGCGATGAGCGTAGACACGGTGCTGAAATAGAAGACTAAGAACTAAAAAATGTCACTTTAGCTATGAGTGTGCAGACGAACCTGTCAGCGATGTACTCAAGAGGATGGAGACTACATTTTTCAATGTGGTAGTGGATACTGTGATTTCCTCTCTTAATGAGAGGTTCAAGACCTTGGGCGAGGTGAATGAAAAGTTCAAGATATTGTTGGGGTTCACGGACATGTCTGACAAAGATATTGTCGGAACTCACACATAAGTTGTAACTTATTCACAACTACTGTGATCATCGTGCGCTGATGTCACAACAAATCTTCCACAAAACAACCCCACCAAAGATAAATTCAATTAACACCCTTCCAGAGCAAAGGAGGTAAACGTTAACACATAAATGCCTCGGATACCTTTTAAATGGATACTCACCCAAAAAAAATTTAAAGCCAGTAATAGTATGGGTGACTCACTCAGCAGATTAAGTATCTCTAAAGACACATACAAACTTTCAATTCACAAAGTACTCATAGCAATGCTCAAAATAAAATACTTGATGATACTTGACGAGAATGTCTCAAGAAAATATAACTCTGTAGCTTTCACGGATGATTAACACAAAGCGGATTTTCTGTACTCACAAGAATTCACTGTCTTTTTCAATTATCTTGACACTGTGTTAACACTACACAATTTACTCTGTGCTTTACTCACAATTGGTGGTCCTTACATGTACAGAGGGTGCTTCCAGCAATTCATTTTCAGAGATTGTATGTCTTAGATGTCCATTTCACCACAGAGTCCTCAACCCACTCAATACTATGGCTGAAAATACACCGGAATTAGTTCTCAAATACATATAACCTCTTTACCAACAATGCATATCAGTCTACACTGTAAGAAATGGTAAGGCGCTATGTAATAAAATTCTCCGTTAAATAAAAACAGGTTGAAAAATACAACAATGAAAAATTTAACACCAAACTTGTGTTATCTCAATAAATTCCATGGTAACAAATTGACTCCAACTGAGAACTAGTCATTTGCTCAGCACACATGAAAGTAACATAGAACACACTAAAAAAAACATGACAACATAGAAGGAACTGGAGGTCAACATTGCAAGTGGAAGGACGATAGACAGACGGGAAATGGAAATGTTAATGGCTGAGTGGAACGGGTGGCGCCAAGTCCTCACTAGACTAATGGCGATTATTCAGTCTCTAGCTGAAAGCAATTTGGCTCTAGAGGGTCAGCCGAAAAACTTAACTGTCAATCCAATGGTAATTTTCTCCAAGAAGTGGAACTTTAAGTAGGGTTGAAAGTAATGCAGGCAATCACAGTCACACTACCTTGGGGTTCCTTGAGGTAGAGAAGTCTACAGGGCTAAATTTGTCATGAATTCTACTCGGAAGACAAACAAATGAACATTTCTTTTGAGGATTATCGAGGTCAATCCTACGACAATGAAGCAAATATGAGAGGAAACATCAAAGGAGTTCAAGCCAGGCTTCTTCAACAGAATTCTCGGCCCTTATTTGTCCCTTGTGGTGCCCATAATTTGAATTTTATATTAGGTGACGCTGCCAAGAGCTCCCTAAATGCAACTTGTTACTTTGGATATTTAACGAAAGTATTCACATTGTTTTCAGCCTCTCCTCAGAGGTGGCAAGTTCTTTTAAAACATGTTAATATTACTCTGAAATCGTGGTCAGACGTCAGATGGGAAAGCCGAGTAAAAAGTGTGGAGGCAATTAGATATCAACCTCCGCAACTCAAAGAAGCGCTTTTGGAGCACAGAGAATCTGCAACTGACCCTGTCGTCAAAGTTGAGGCTTAATCGTTGGCAGAGGAAGTAGGGTCATACCGTTTTGTCATTTGTTCAGTTGTGTGGTATGATATACTCAGCAAAATTCAGCACGTGAGCAAACTAATGCAGTCGACTACGATACAGCTCGGCGTGGCTGTAGATCTGCTCAAAAAGACCAGAGATGATATTGTCAGCTACAGAAATACAGGTTTTGCTGATGCACTAACTATTGCTAAAGAAATCTGTGAAGCGATGAGCGTAGACACGGTGCTGAAACAGAAGACTAAGAACTAAAAAATGTCACTTTAGCTATGAGTGTGCAGACGAACCTGTCAGCGATGTACTCAAGAGGATGGAGACTACATTTTCAATGTGGTAGTGGATACTGTGATTTCCTCTCTTAATGAGAGGTTCAAGACCTTGGGCGAGGTGAATGAAAAGTTCAAGGTATTGTTGGGGTTCACGGACATGTCTGACAAAGATATTGTCGGAACTCACACATAAGTTGTAACTTATTCACAACTACTGTGATCATCGTGCGCTGATGTCACAACAAATCTTCTACAAAACAACCCCACCAAAGATAAATTCAATTAACACCCTTCCAGAGCAAAGGGGGTAAACATTGACACATAAATGCCTCGGATACTTCTTAAATGGATACTCACCAAAATAAATAATCGGCAGTAGTATCGGTGACTCACTCAGAAAATTAAGTATCTCTAAAGAGGACAATACAAACTTTCAATTCACAAAGTACTCATAGCAATGCTCAAAATAAAATACTTGATGATACTTGACGAGAATGTCTCAAGAAAATATAACTCTGTAGCTTTCACGGATGATTAACACAAAGCGGATTTTCTGTACTCACAAGAATTCACTGTCTTTTTCAATTATCTTGACACTGTGTTAACACTACACAATTTACTCTGTGCTTTACTCACAATTGGTGGTCCTTACATGTACAGAGGGTGCTTCCAGCAATTCATTTTCAGAGATTGTATGTCTTAGATGTCCATTTCACCACAGAGTCCTCAACCCACTCAATACTATGGCTGAAAATACACCGGAATTAGTTCTCAAATACATATAACCTCTTTACCAACAATGCATATCAGTCTACACTGTAAGAAATGGTAAGGCGCTATGTAATAAAATTCTCCGTTAAATAAAAACAGGTTGAAAAATACAACAATGAAAAATTTAACACCAAACTTGTGTTATCTCAATAAATTCAATGGTAACAAATTGACTCCAACTGAGAACTAGTCATTTGCTCAGCACACATGAAAGTAACATAGAACACACTAAAAAAAACATGACAACATAGAAGGAACTGGAGGTCAACATTGCAAGTGGAAGGACGATAGACAGACGGGAAATGGAAATGTTAATGGCTGAGTGGAACGGGTGGCGCCAAGTCCTCACTAGACTAATGGCGATTATTCAGTCTCTAGCTGAAAGCAATTTGGCTCTAGAGGGTCAGCCGAAAAACTTAACTGTCAATCCAATGGTAATTTTCTCCAAGAAGTGGAACTTTAAGTAGGGTTGAAAGTAATGCAGGCAATCACAGTCACACTACCTTGGGGTTCCTTGAGGTAGAGAAGTCTACAGGGCTAAATTTGTCATGAATTCTACTCGGAAGACAAACAAATGAACATTTCTTTTGAGGATTATCGAGGTCAATCCTACGACAATGAAGCAAATATGAGAGGAAACATCAAAGGAGTTCAAGCCAGGCTTCTTCAACAGAATTCTCGGCCCTTATTTGTCCCTTGTGGTGCCCATAATTTGAATTTTATATTAGGTGACGCTGCCAAGAGCTCCCTAAATGCAACTTGTTACTTTGGATATTTAACGAAAGTATTCACATTGTTTTCAGCCTCTCCTCAGAGGTGGCAAGTTCTTTTAAAACATGTTAATATTACTCTGAAATCGTGGTCAGACGTCAGATGGGAAAGCCGAGTAAAAAGTGTGGAGGCAATTAGATATCAACCTCCGCAACTCAAAGAAGCGCTTTTGGAGCACAGAGAATCTGCAACTGACCCTGTCGTCAAAGTTGAGGCTTAATCGTTGGCAGAGGAAGTAGGGTCATACCGTTTTGTCATTTGTTCAGTTGTGTGGTATGATATACTCAGCAAAATTCAGCACGTGAGCAAACTAATGCAGTCGACTACGATACAGCTCGGCGTGGCTGTAGATCTGCTCAAAAAGACCAGAGATGATATTGTCAGCTACAGAAATACAGGTTTTGCTGATGCACTAACTATTGCTAAAGAAATCTGTGAAGCGATGAGCGTAGACACGGTGCTGAAACAGAAGACTAAGAACTAAAAAATGTCACTTTAGCTATGAGTGTGCAGACGAACCTGTCAGCGATGTACTCAAGAGGATGGAGACTACATTTTTCAATGTGGTAGTGGATACTGTGATTTCCTCTCTTAATGAGAGGTTCAAGACCTTGGGCGAGGTGAATGAAAAGTTCAAGGTATTGTTGGGGTTCACGGACATGTCTGACAAAGATATTGTCGGAACTCACACATAAGTTGTAACTTATTCACAACTACTGTGATCATCGTGCGCTGATGTCACAACAAATCTTCTACAAAACAACCCCACCAAAGATAAATTCAATTAACACCCTTCCAGAGCAAAGGGGGTAAACATTGACACATAAATGCCTCGGATACTTCTTAAATGGATACTCACCAAAATAAATAATCGGCAGTAGTATCGGTGACTCACTCAGAAAATTAAGTATCTCTAAAGAGGACAATACAAACTTTCAATTCACAAAGTACTCATAGCAATGCTCAAAATAAAATACTTGATGATACTTGACGAGAATGTCTCAAGAAAATATAACTCTGTAGCTTTCACGGATGATTAACACAAAGCGGATTTTCTGTACTCACAAGAATTCACTGTCTTTTTCAATTATCTTGACACTGTGTTAACACTACACAATTTACTCTGTGCTTTACTCACAATTGGTGGTCCTTACATGTACAGAGGGTGCTTCCAGCAATTCATTTTCAGAGATTGTATGTCTTAGATGTCCATTTCACCACAGAGTCCTCAACCCACTCAATACTATGGCTGAAAATACACCGGAATTAGTTCTCAAATACATATAACCTCTTTACCAACAATGCATATCAGTCTACACTGTAAGAAATGGTAAGGCGCTATGTAATAAAATTCTCCGTTAAATAAAAACAGGTTGAAAAATACAACAATGAAAAATTTAACACCAAACTTGTGTTATCTCAATAAATTCCATGGTAACAAATTGACTCCAACTGAGAACTAGTCATTTGCTCAGCACACATGAAAGTAACATAGAACACACTAAAAAAAACATGACAACATAGAAGGAACTGGAGGTCAACATTGCAAGTGGAAGGACGATAGACAGACGGGAAATGGAAATGTTAATGGCTGAGTGGAACGGGTGGCGCCAAGTCCTCACTAGACTAATGGCGATTATTCAGTCTCTAGCTGAAAGCAATTTGGCTCTAGAGGGTCAGCCGAAAAACTTAACTGTCAATCCAATGGTAATTTTCTCCAAGAAGTGGAACTTTAAGTAGGGTTGAAAGTAATGCAGGCAATCACAGTCACACTACCTTGGGGTTCCTTGAGGTAGAGAAGTCTACAGGGCTAAATTTGTCATGAATTCTACTCGGAAGACAAACAAATGAACATTTCTTTTGAGGATTATCGAGGTCAATCCTACGACAATGAAGCAAATATGAGAGGAAACATCAAAGGAGTTCAAGCCAGGCTTCTTCAACAGAATTCTCGGCCCTTATTTGTCCCTTGTGGTGCCCATAATTTGAATTTTATATTAGGTGACGCTGCCAAGAGCTCCCTAAATGCAACTTGTTACTTTGGATATTTAAAGAAAGTATTCACATTGTTTTCAGCCTCTCCTCAGAGGTGGCAAGTTCTTTTAAAACATGTTAATATTACTCTGAAATCGTGGTCAGACGTCAGATGGGAAAGCCGAGTAAAAAGTGTGGAGGCAATTAGATATCAACCTCCGCAACTCAAAGAAGCGCTTTTGGAGCACAGAGAATCTGCAACTGACCCTGTCGTCAAAGTTGTTCAGTTGTGTGGTATGATATACTCAGCAAAATTCAGCACGTGAGCAAACTAATGCAGTCGACTACGATACAGCTCGGCGTGGCTGTAGATCTGCTCAAAAAGACCAGAGATGATATTGTCAGCTACAGAAATACAGGTTTTGCTGATGCACTAACTATTGCTAAAGAAATCTGTGAAGCGATGAGCTTAGACACGGTGCTGAAACAGAAGACTAAGAACTAAAAAATGTCACTTTAGCTATGAGTGTGCAGACGAACCTGTCAGCGATGTACTCAAGAGGATGGAGACTACATTTTTCAATGTGGTAGTGGATACTGTGATTTCCTCTCTTAAGGAGAGGTTCAAGACCTTGGGCGAGGTGAATGAAAAGTTCAAGGTATTGTTGGGGTTCACGGACATGTCTGACAAAGATATTGTCGGAACTCACACATAAGTTGTAACTTATTCACAACTACTGTGATCATCGTGCGCTGATGTCACAACAAATCTTCTACAAAACAACCCCACCAAAGATAAATTCAATTAACACCCTTCCAGAGCAAAGGGGGTAAACATTGACACATAAATGCCTCGGATACTTCTTAAATGGATACTCACCAAAATAAATAATCGGCAGTAGTATCGGTGACTCACTCAGAAAATTAAGTATCTCTAAAGAGGACAATACAAACTTTCAATTCACAAAGTACTCATAGCAATGCTCAAAATAAAATACTTGATGATACTTGACGAGAATGTCTCAAGAAAATATAACTCTGTAGCTTTCACGGATGATTAACACAAAGCGGATTTTCTGTACTCACAAGAATTCACTGTCTTTTTCAATTATCTTGACACTGTGTTAACACTACACAATTTACTCTGTGCTTTACTCACAATTGGTGGTCCTTACATGTACAGAGGGTGCTTCCAGCAATTCATTTTCAGAGATTGTATGTCTTAGATGTCCATTTCACCACAGAGTCCTCAACCCACTCAATACTATGGCTGAAAATACACCGGAATTAGTTCTCAAATACATATAACCTCTTTACCAACAATGCATATCAGTCTACACTGTAAGAAATGGTAAGGCGCTATGTAATAAAATTCTCCGTTAAATAAAAACAGGTTGAAAAATACAACAATGAAAAATTTAACACCAAACTTGTGTTATCTCAATAAATTCAATGGTAACAAATTGACTCCAACTGAGAACTAGTCATTTGCTCAGCACACATGAAAGTAACATAGAACACACTAAAAAAAACATGACAACATAGAAGGAACTGGAGGTCAACATTGCAAGTGGAAGGACGATAGACAGACGGGAAATGGAAATGTTAATGGCTGAGTGGAACGGGTGGCGCCAAGTCCTCACTAGACTAATGGCGATTATTCAGTCTCTAGCTGAAAGCAATTTGGCTCTAGAGGGTCAGCCGAAAAACTTAACTGTCAATCCAATGGTAATTTTCTCCAAGAAGTGGAACTTTAAGTAGGGTTGAAAGTAATGCAGGCAATCACAGTCACACTACCTTGGGGTTCCTTGAGGTAGAGAAGTCTACAGGGCTAAATTTGTCATGAATTCTACTCGGAAGACAAACAAATGAACATTTCTTTTGAGGATTATCGAGGTCAATCCTACGACAATGAAGCAAATATGAGAGGAAACATCAAAGGAGTTCAAGCCAGGCTTCTTCAACAGAATTCTCGGCCCTTATTTGTCCCTTGTGGTGCCCATAATTTGAATTTTATATTAGGTGACGCTGCCAAGAGCTCCCTAAATGCAACTTGTTACTTTGGATATTTAACGAAAGTATTCACATTGTTTTCAGCCTCTCCTCAGAGGTGGCAAGTTCTTTTAAAACATGTTAATATTACTCTGAAATCGTGGTCAGACGTCAGATGGGAAAGCCGAGTAAAAAGTGTGGAGGCAATTAGATATCAACCTCCGCAACTCAAAGAAGCGCTTTTGGAGCACAGAGAATCTGCAACTGACCCTGTCGTCAAAGTTGAGGCTTAATCGTTGGCAGAGGAAGTAGGGTCATACCGTTTTGTCATTTGTTCAGTTGTGTGGTATGATATACTCAGCAAAATTCAGCACGTGAGCAAACTAATGCAGTCGACTACGATACAGCTCGGCGTGGCTGTAGATCTGCTCAAAAAGACCAGAGATGATATTGTCAGCTACAGAAATACAGGTTTTGCTGATGCACTAACTATTGCTAAAGAAATCTGTGAAGCGATGAGCGTAGACACGGTGCTGAAACAGAAGACTAAGAACTAAAAAATGTCACTTTAGCTATGAGTGTGCAGACGAACCTGTCAGCGATGTACTCAAGAGGATGGAGACTACATTTTTCAATGTGGTAGTGGATACTGTGATTTCCTCTCTTAATGAGAGGTTCAAGACCTTGGGCGAGGTGAATGAAAAGTTCAAGATATTGTTGGGGTTCACGGACATGTCTGACAAAGATATTGTCGGAACTCACACATAAGTTGTAACTTATTCACAACTACTGTGATCATCGTGCGCTGATGTCACAACAAATCTTCTACAAAACAACCCCACCAAAGATAAATTCAATTAACACCCTTCCAGAGCAAAGGAGGTAAACGTTAACACATAAATGCCTCGGATACTTTTTAAATGGATACTCACCAAAAAAAAAATTTAAAGCCAGTAATAGTATGGGTGACTCACTCAGCAGATTAAGTATCTCTAAAGACAACACTACAAGGTTTCAATTCACACAGTACTCATAGCAGTGCTCAAAATAAAATACTTGATGGTACTTGACGAGAATGTCTCAAGAAAATATAACTCTGTAGCTTTCACGAATGATAACACAAAGCGGATTTTCTGTACTCACAAGAATTCACTGTCTTTTTCAATTATCTTGACACTGTGTTAACACTACACAATTTACTCTGTGCTTTACTCACAATTGGTGGTCCTTACATGTACAGAGGGTGCTTCCAGCAATTCATTTTCAGAGATTGTATGTCTTAGATGTCCATTTCACCACAGAGTCCTCAACCCACTCAATACTATGGCTGAAAATACACCGGAATTAGTTCTCAAATACATATAACCTCTTTACCAACAATGCATATCAGTCTACACTGTAAGAAATGGTAAGGCGCTATGTAATAAAATTCTCCGTTAAATAAAAACAGGTTGAAAAATACAACAATGAAAAATTTAACACCAAACTTGTGTTATCTCAATAAATTAATGGTAACAAATTGACTCCAACTGAGAACTAGTCATTTGCTCAGCACACATGAAAGTAACATAGAACACACTAAAAAAAACATGACAACATAGAAGGAACTGGAGGTCAACATTGCAAGTGGAAGGACGATAGACAGACGGGAAATGGAAATGTTAATGGCTGAGTGGAACGGGTGGCGCCAAGTCCTCACTAGACTAATGGCGATTATTCAGTCTCTAGCTGAAAGCAATTTGGCTCTAGAGGGTCAGCCGAAAAACTTAACTGTCAATCCAATGGTAATTTTCTCCAAGAAGTGGAACTTTAAGTAGGGTTGAAAGTAATGCAGGCAATCACAGTCACACTACCTTGGGGTTCCTTGAGGTAGAGAAGTCTACAGGGCTAAATTTGTCATGAATTCTACTCGGAAGACAAACAAATGAACATTTCTTTTGAGGATTATCGAGGTCAATCCTACGACAATGAAGCAAATATGAGAGGAAACATCAAAGGAGTTCAAGCCAGGCTTCTTCAACAGAATTCTCGGCCCTTATTTGTCCCTTGTGGTGCCCATAATTTGAATTTTATATTAGGTGACGCTGCCAAGAGCTCCCTAAATGCAACTTGTTACTTTGGATATTTAACGAAAGTATTCACATTGTTTTCAGCCTCTCCTCAGAGGTGGCAAGTTCTTTTAAAACATGTTAATATTACTCTGAAATCGTGGTCAGACGTCAGATGGGAAAGCCGAGTAAAAAGTGTGGAGGCAATTAGATATCAACCTCCGCAACTCAAAGAAGCGCTTTTGGAGCACAGAGAATCTGCAACTGACCCTGTCGTCAAAGTTGAGGCTTAATCGTTGGCAGAGGAAGTAGGGTCATACCGTTTTGTCATTTGTTCAGTTGTGTGGTATGATATACTCAGCAAAATTCAGCACGTGAGCAAACTAATGCAGTCGACTACGATACAGCTCGGCGTGGCTGTAGATCTGCTCAAAAAGACCAGAGATGATATTGTCAGCTACAGAAATACAGGTTTTGCTGATGCACTAACTATTGCTAAAGAAATCTGTGAAGCGATGAGCGTAGACACGGTGCTGAAACAGAAGACTAAGAACTAAAAAATGTCACTTTAGCTATGAGTGTGCAGACGAACCTGTCAGCGATGTACTCAAGAGGATGGAGACTACATTTTTCAATGTGGTAGTGGATACTGTGATTTCCTCTCTTAATGAGAGGTTCAAGACCTTGGGCGAGGTGAATGAAAAGTTCAAGGTATTGTTGGGGTTCACGGACATGTCTGACAAAGATATTGTCGGAACTCACACATAAGTTGTAACTTATTCACAACTACTGTGATCATCATGCGCTGATGTCACAACAAATCTTCTACAAAACAACCCCACCAAAGATAAATTCAATTAACACCCTTCCAGAGCAAAGGGGGTAAACATTGACACATAAATGCCTCGGATACTTCTTAAATGGATACTCACCAAAATAAATAATCGGCAGTAGTATCGGTGACTCACTCAGAAAATTAAGTATCTCTAAAGAGGACAATAAGTACTCATAGCAATTCTCAAAATAAAATACTTGATGATACTTGACGAGAATGTCTCAAGAAAATATAACTCTGTAGCTTTCACGGATGATTAACACAAAGCGGATTTTCTGTACTCACAAGAATTCACTGTCTTTTTCAATTATCTTGACACTGTGTTAACACTACACAATTTACTCTGTGCTTTACTCACAATTGGTGGTCCTTACATGTACAGAGGGTGCTTCCAGCAATTCATTTTCAGAGATTGTATGTCTTAGATGTCCATTTCACCACAGAGTCCTCAACCCACTCAATACTATGGCTGAAAATACACCGGAATTAGTTCTCAAATACATATAATCTCTTTACCAACAATGCATATCAGTCTACACTGTAAGAAATGGTAAGGCGCTATGTAATAAAATTCTCCGTTAAATAAAAACAGGTTGAAAAATACAACAATGAAAAATTTAACACCAAACTTGTGTTATCTCAATAAATTCCATGGTAACAAATTGACTCCAACTGAGAACTAGTCATTTGCTCAGCACACATGAAAGTAACATAGAACACACTAAAAAAAACATGACAACATAGAAGGAACTGGAGGTCAACATTGCAAGTGGAAGGACGATAGACAGACGGGAAATGGAAATGTTAATGGCTGAGTGGAACGGGTGGCGCCAAGTCCTCACTAGACTAATGGCGATTATTCAGTCTCTAGCTGAAAGCAATTTGGCTCTAGAGGGTCAGCCGAAAAACTTAACTGTCAATCCAATGGTAATTTTCTCCAAGAAGTGGAACTTTAAGTAGGGTTGAAAGTAATGCAGGCAATCACAGTCACACTACCTTGGGGTTCCTTGAGGTAGAGAAGTCTACAGGGCTAAATTTGTCATGAATTCTACTCGGAAGACAAACAAATGAACATTTCTTTTGAGGATTATCGAGGTCAATCCTACGACAATGAAGCAAATATGAGAGGAAACATCAAAGGAGTTCAAGCCAGGCTTCTTCAACAGAATTCTCGGGCCTTATTTGATCCTTGTGGTGCCCATAATTTGAATTTGATATTAGGCGACGCTGCCAAGAGCTCCCTAAATGCAACTTGTTACTTTGGATATTTAACGAAAGTATTCACATTTTCAGTCTCTCCTCAGAGGTGGCAAGTTCTTTTAAAACATGTTAATATTAATCTGAAACCGTGGTCAGACGTCAGATGGGAAAGCCGAGTAAAAAGTGTGGAGGCAATTAGATATCAACCTGCGCAAATCAAAGAAGCGCTTTTGGAGCACAGAGAATCTGCAACTGACCCTGTCGTCAAAGTTGAGGCTTAATCGTTGGCAGAGGAAGTAGGGTCATACCGTTTTGTCATTTGTTCAGTTGTGTGGTAGGATATACTCAGCAAAATTCAGCACGTGAGCAAACTAATGCAGTCGAGTACGATACAGCTCGGCGTGGCTGTAGATCTGCTCAAAAAGACCAGAGATGATATTGTCAGCTACAGAAATACATGTTTTGCTGATGCACTAACTATTGCTAAAGAAATCTGTGAAACGATGAGCGTAGACACGGTGCTGAAACAGAAGAGACTAAGAACTAAAAAATGTCACTTTAGCTATGAGTGTGCAGACAAACCTGTCAGCGATGTACTCAAGAGGATGGAGACTACATTTTTCAATGTGTTGAAATTAGATGCTGTGATTTCCTACTAGTAGAGGTTCAGACCTTAGAGGTGAATGAAAAAGTTCAAGATATTATTTGGGGTTCACGGACATGTCTGACAAAAGATATTAGCCGAACTCACATAAGTTGTAACTTATTCACAACTACTGTGATCATCGTGCGCTGATGTCACAACAAATCTTCTACAAAACAACCCCACCAAAGATAAATTCAATTAACACCCTTCCAGAGCAAAGGGGGTAAACGTTAACACATAAATGCCTCGGATACTTCTTAAATGGATACTCACCAAAATAAATAATTGGCAGTAGTATCGGTGACTCACTCAGAAAATTAAGTATCTCTAAAGAGGACAATACAAAGTTTCAATTCACAAAGTACTCATAGCAATGCTCAAAATAAAATACTTGTTGATACTTGACGAGAATGTCTCAAGAAAATATAACTCTGTAGCTTTCACGGATGATTAACACAAAGCGGATTTTCTGTACTCACAAGAATTTACTGTCTTTTTCAATTATCTTGACACTGTGTTAACACTACACAATTTACTCTGTGCTTTACTCACAATTGGTGGTCCTTACATGTACAGAGGGTGTTTCCAGCAATCCATTTTCAGAGATTGTATGTCTTAGATGTCCATTTCACCACAGAGTCCTCAACCCAATCAATACTATGGCTGAAAATACACCGGAATTAGTTCTCAAATACATATAACCTCTTTACCAACAATGCATATCAGTCTACACTGTAAGAAATGGTAAGGCAGTATGTAATAAAATTCTCCGTTAAAAAAAACAGGTTGTAAAATACAACACTGAAAAATTTAACACCAAACTTGTGTTATCTCAATAAATTCAATGGTAACAAATTGACTCCAACTGAGAACTAGTCATTTGCTCAGCACACATAAGTAACATAAAGACACACTAAAAAAAAAACATGACAACATAGAAGACTGGGTCGCATTGCCCAAGTGGAAGGGCCGATGAACCAGGCAGGGAAATGGAAATGTTATTGTGGGCTGAGTATTAGGCAGGTGGCGCCAGAATCCTCCCTTTAGACTAATGGCGATTATTCAGTCTCCTAGCTAGAAAGCAATTTGGCTCTAGAGGGGTCAGCCGAAAAACTTAACCTGTCAATCAATGGTAATTTTCTCCAAGAAGTGGAACTTTAAGTAAGTTTGAGAAAGTAATGCAGGCAATCACAGTCACACTACCTTGGGGTTCCTTGAGGTAGAGAAGTCTACAGGGCTAAATTTGTCATGAATTCTACTCGGAAGACAAACAAATGAACATTTCTTTTGAGGATTATCGAGGTCAATCCTACGACAATGAAGCAAATATGAGAGGAAACATCAAAGGAGTTCAAGCCAGGCTTCTTCAACAGAATTCTCGGCCCTTATTTGTCCCTTGTGGTGCCCATAATTTGAATTTTATATTAGGTGACGCTGCCAAGAGCTCCCTAAATGCAACTTGTTACTTTGGATATTTAACGAAAGTATTCACATTGTTTTCAGCCTCTCCTCAGAGGTGGCAAGTTCTTTTAAAACATGTTAATATTACTCTGACATCGTGGTCAGACGTCAGATGGGAAAGCCGAGTAAAAAGTGTGGAGGCAATTAGATATCAACCTCCGCAACTCAAAGAAGCGCTTTTGGAGCACAGAGAATCTGCAACTGACCCTGTCGTCAAAGTTGAGGCTTAATCGTTGGCAGAGGAAGTAGGGTCATACCGTTTTGTCATTTGTTCAGTTGTGTGGTATGATATACTCAGCAAAATTCAGCACGTGAGCAAACTAATGCAGTCGACTACGATACAGCTCGGCGTGGCTGTAGATCTGCTCAAAAAGACCAGAGATGATATTGTCAGCTACAGAAATACAGGTTTTGCTGATGCACTAACTATTGCTAAAGAAATCTGTGAAGCGATGAGCGTAGACACGGTGCTGAAACAGAAGACTAAGAACTAAAAAATGTCACTTTAGCTATGAGTGTGCAGACGAACCTGTCAGCGATGTACTCAAGAGGATGGAGACTACATTTTTCAATGTGGTAGTGGATACTGTGATTTCCTCTCTTAATGAGAGGTTCAAGACCTTGGGCGAGGTGAATGAAAAGTTCAAGGTATTGTTGGGGTTCACGGACATGTCTGACAAAGATATTGTCGGAACTCACACATAAGTTGTAACTTATTCACAACTACTGTGATCATCGTGCGCTGATGTCACAACAAATCTTCTACAAAACAACCCCACCAAAGATAAATTCAATTAACACCCTTCCAGAGCAAAGGGGTAAACATTGACACATAAATGCCTCGGATACTTCTTAAATGGATACTCACCAAAATAAATAATCGGCAGTAGTATCGGTGACTCACTCAGAAAATTAAGTATCTCTAAAGAGGACAATACAAACTTTCAATTCACAAAGTACTCATAGCAATGCTCAAAATAAAATACTTGATGATACTTG